TTTTTTTTTTTTTTTTTTTCACCAGGGGAAGTGATTCATGCCCAGTGTAAAAAAGAAATAAAAGTGGAGAGAACACCTTGGCTAGTATCCAGACCGATGATGTTGCTTATGTCATCTGGACAGTGCATGGCACATTGTGAGGAGAAGAAAAGAAAATCAACTGCATTGATTCTAAACCCAAATTTGGTTTATAGCACACTTACTCCCTTTCAATGCTTTATCTCTGATTTCTCTGATGCTGCAAACACAATCCAGTTGTGGGTTAATATATTTTCCCTCCAAAAGTTTCCCTCGATCAGGTGAACTAGGAACACTTCATTTTTTGTACAAAAAACTTCTCAACGATGCTGTAAGGCAATGCTATGAACAGTTCATTGTGTTTATTTAAAGCCTCTCAAGTGGAAGATCTGATTACTCCATTTACCACAGGGAATACTGGACCTGAATTCACATTTGATGTAGCATAACAGATGTGACAGCTCAGTTTTGACATCAGACTGGTGTCTCACCCATTCCACAGTGCCAACAATGCCATCTAAGACCTCTATTCCCTCATCATTTTTCTAGAGACATTTCTCTCTGGTGCAGAGTAAGAAGAGAGCTGCAATAGTGGTACACAAAGATGCCTTTAAAAAGGACACTGAAGCTTCAGCAGGCACTAAAAGAGGATCTGAAATATGAATAGCTGGAGTCAGTAGGAGCATCCCTCCTTGATGTTCAGTGACCTATAGCTGTACCTGTTCATTTCTGCATACAGACCAAGGTGCTGCTAAGAGCCAGAAAACACCAAACAGTTTGAATAGATTACTCTCTTAGCAGCACTCAGCTGAAAGTTCTTGGTCATACGCTGAAACTCCACATCTTCCTCCATGCCTAATAGAGCTATAGGCACTTATAGGAGGTCAGGTGTCAGGACGATGGGGCCAGACTCTTCTCAGTGGTGTCCAGTGACAGAGCAAGGGATAATGATCACAAACTGGTACACAGGAGATTTAACCTGAATATGAGAAAATACTTCATTACTCTGAGGGTAACAGAACCCTGGAAAAAGCTGCCCAGGGAGGCTGTGGAGTCTCAGTCCCTGGAGACATTCCAAATCTGCGTGGATGTGTTCCTGTGTGATCTGCTCTAGGGGATCCTGCTCTAGCAGGGGGGTTGGACTAGATGATCCACAATTCTGTGATTCTGTGATCTAGTGAGTGGGACAGGGAAGCAATCTTTTCTGTTTTTAAATAAAGTCTCTGAGATTTCTTTTCACAGACTGTTCCTGCAACTCTTATAAGCCTGAAGATGAGTAATCAGGATTTTCAGAAACATTTTTATTTTTAAAAAAAATTAAGAACTTCACTGTATATTGACTTTAAAAAAAAAAAAAAATCTTTGATTTTGGAAAAGATTTTTTATTTTTTGGACAAAGCTTATAATTTGCATATTTTTCCTGGATTATAAAATATTTTAATTTTAATGTAAAATATTCTATTTCCTGGCGCTATAAGATTTCAAGCTTGATATTAATTTTTTACTATTTGTGATGCACAACCTGGAAGCTGGTCAACACAAAAATGGGAAATTTATGATTTATGTACCCTCTATAATTAGATGTAAATTTTCTTTTTTTTTTGCTGATTTTCCCTCAGGTGAATAAATGCTAATTTCTAATTAACTATTGGCACCTTCAGGATTTTTTTTTTTTCCCCAATTTCCTGTTTTGTATGTGCATTGTGATGGACAACTATTGTTTTGTTTTGTTGTTTTTTTTTTTTCTCCAAATGAAGAACACTAACCTCCTTTTTTAGTTGAACATAAAAGTACTATGTGTGACTCAAGCTTCCATTTGTTCAAACCAATCAATTTCAAGCCTAAGAAGGAAAGTAACAAAGACCTTTGAATTTCAGCACTTTTTCACTCTCCGTTAGGTCTGAATTGGATTTCTTGTTAGCATACAGTGAAGAAAAAAAAAAAAAAAAAAGGATTAAGAGGTACAAAAGCAAGTATTTAGCTGTAAAACAAATAAATGTAGGAAAGCTTAAAAGGAAGTAAAGGTGAAGGATCACGTTTGCAGTTCCCCCACATTAAAATAGTAAGTCCAGTGTGGAAGTATCAAATGAAAAGGAAATTTAATTAATTTTCTGCAAATCTCAGCCATTTCATGTCTAGCCATATTAAAAAAAGAAGAAAGGCAGCTACTAAAAAATATTGAAAACCCTATCCTTTTACTTAAAAAAATGTAATAAAATTGATCATAAAATAAAGGAGGTACAGAATACATCTTTTCAGGTGGGGACTGTAACCTCTCACACAGCAGTGCTGGCCATCTGTTCAGTGTTCTTGCTACTGTATAAACCTGTAACGTGTGACATGTCACACAGCCCCACAGAGAATGAGTTTATCCTTCATATTCTGATGATATATATGGCTGATTGATAAGAAAATACCTTTTTTTTTTTGTGCTCCACAGGTGTCCATCTTATGCCCTGAAAGAGTAGATTTATTTACCCTTATCTCAGTGCTAGCAGCAGAGATTATAACATCCATTATATTATTTTCTAATCCCTGGGGTTTTAGCTACATTAATTCCATGCTCTTTAATATGACAAACACCCGTAACCATTTGAAAATGTATAGTTAAGTCACCATTTCTAATGTACACCTATTGTTTAAAATTTATATGCAAAACATGCAAATAACATTTTGGATGGAGTGTGTGTGGCAAGAGCAGCACAAGTGTCTGCATTGTTAAAAGAAAAAACAGTAACATTCAAAAAATATTATGCAGTGTCACTAGAGAACAACCCATGGCACAGGAATGGTCTCCGCTATGAAAAGGAAACAGTATAAAAATTGAAGAGCTAGTGAAGATACAAGACAATAAATCAAATGGGCTTGGTGCAATTCTTTCTGGATGTCCCACCTATACTTCAGGTGTAATTAGCTCAATCGTTGACATAAGTTATGAGCTTGGGAAAAGCATTCAGATCTCTGATCCAAAGCAGCTGTCAGATAGTATGGCTGTCTCTGCAGTGGCAAACCCTATTCTGAAAGGAGTTGAAGTATGGGTTTCTCTCAGCACACATATATATATTCATGTGCCTTGTGGAAGAATGGCACTCACCACAAGAGAGTATCAGTTTAAATAAGATCCAACAGAAAACAAAACACTTCTGTGGAAGGTGAAAGGAGTAATGGAAAATAAACAAGGAAAATCTCAAGGCAGTCAAAGTAACAGAAAAGCTTTGCAGGCTACTAGCAACTAATAAAGAACAGAATAAAGGGGGAAATACTCTGCCACTGTCAAAAGGACTTGTAGGAAAGTTGGAGTAGTTTTTACCACTTAAGAGTCTTTCAATTGCCTTCACTGTGGTTTGCCTTTTAGGCATGCATGGAGGGGTCATTCATTCTCTGTGCTTATCAAGTAGCTGCAGCTGATAAGGGCAGCAGTGAAGGGGCATGTTTTTTAGACCCTGAGAATGGTCTACTGATGATTGCTATGAATTAGGATCAAATAAAAAATTAAAAACAGATTTTTATTTTTATTTTTTTAAATTTTAGGCAATTACTGTTTATTATCCTAGCATGGGAGCTGTGGAAGGTTTTGCAATTCATTATCAGTTACTTAAACCACGTACTATGTTTAAAGTAGAAATTAGACTGGTGTAGAGCAACATCTTCTGCCAGCCCAATTCTGTGAGTTTAAACTATTTTATGTGCAAATTTATTATGGAGTTTAAAATTAACATCATGTGATAGGTATAAAAGTGATTAAAGACATATGCTGAAGATATCTGAAGTATAAAGCAGGTGATATTCTTTCTAAAAAGGTAAAAAAAGCTCTATACAAGGTCTGTCAAACCAAGGACAAACTTATTCATTGCATTATCACCACACAGAGGGCAGCCTTCCCCTCCTAGTATCTGAAACACAGGACTAAGAAATAGACTGAGCTGGGATTGTAGCTCTTTAAAACAGGCAAGATTTACAGGGAAAAGAATTAAATTCAAAATATGTTTTTAAAAATTCTATTATAACCTTATTAAAAAACATGGTTTAACTGTTTACTATATGCAATGGGAATAAAAATGTTGTGTGTAATAGTCCATAAACACAGGCCGTACAAGAATAAAAAGTAGGTATTAGAAAAATTACATGTAGAATTGCATAGGGAACTTTTAAATTGGATTAATTAAATAAAATACTCGCAGAATACCAAGATGGCCAAAGAAATGAATAGATAATTTTGTATCAATTTATACCCATTTTCTAGGAATACAGATCAAATAGGTGAAGTCATATTATTAGAGTCACTCATTGGACCTAAGAGTAACTGTTAACACTGAAGGTGTTAACCAGAAAAGGTGTGAAAGGAAACTCTGGGAAAAAAAGTTTTGCTATGATAGAAATGGCATGTCATCACGATTATGGGAAAAACATACATTTTGAACATATTATTGTGTGACTTTTAGGTGACAAAATAAGGGCAAGATTCAAGTACTTCAGAATGTATCATGCTTATTATCATTGCTGCTGTTATTTACTACCAGAAAGC